TGCTATAAAAGTCAAATTGTACATACCACATGAAATGGAGTATCTGACGCTACAAAAACCAGGAAAAATTAAACTTGTTTTATTCTCCTGTGTGAGACATAACCGTTTTTTAAAAAATCAACATGTAGTAAAATTTTACTGTAAAATGTAATGCTTAGACACAGAACACATAAAGATTAGCTTTCTCTATTTTCCAGTTAATGTGTTTTGTCTGACGAAACAAGTCACTTGCTCAAGATGCTGAGCTTTAAATCATGTAACTTATGATGATGACGTCTTGGGAAAGCTTCCTGCGAGGGGTGAACAATCTTCAATGCATGGTAAGAGATTTTTGCCCCCACAGGTTATGACCAGTTCTCAAAATTGTTCTCAATTTAAAATTAGCAAAGAATATCTTACTAATAAGAAATATGAAGGAGATAAAACAAAAGTAACATAACAATTCTCGTACTCAAGGTTGAAAGAGTGTATTTATTTTTACATCTGTGCAAATTTGATCTAGTTTAAAAAGATAGGATTTGCTTACAGATGGGGTCAGCTTACTTGGGATTATAAAATTCCTAAAAAAATGTTTGTTGTTACTACATTGCTTAAGAAGAATTGACTTTGATGTGGAACCTATTTCAATTTAGATGTTGTTTAATGTTGTTATCTAGTTAACTTTAAGACTAGATAACTTGAAGACTGGATGGTATTGCAAGTGAAGTTCTAGAAAGTATTTCTCCCAAATTACTTCATATCCTACAATTAAGTACTTAGGAACAAGAAAGAAGGCGGGGCCCCAGGAGATGCAGGCGTGCAGTGTGGTAGTCCAGTGACTCCAGTCCTCCAGTGTCAAGATACCTTATCTCCAAGGGAAAGAGGACCCGAAGGAGTATGTTACTCACTTCAGCCCACCCCATGCTTTGGTAGAAAACAACCCCTAAATCTGTAGAACTTTTATGAAAAGTGTACATTTTCAACCCCTTCATGGTTCTCCATTTCCTCTTTTTTGCAATCCAGCTTGAAAGAATAGCCCTTATCTCAAACCTAACAACTATCTGGCAGAGAAAAATGGACAAAAGTTATAGAACATCAAACTCAGAAACTGCCCGTACAACTCATAAAAGTTCTGCTCAGCTGTCACTTACATATGTTTTTCTGATAATTCTATTTGCTCAAGTTAGTAATGTAAGAACCTGACATTAATAGGGAGGGAAACATATTCTTCTCACTGGTCACCAAGGGGAACCCACAGAGAGGGACAACAAATGTGGCTGAATAAATAATATAATCTACCACAGACAGAAACACAGAGGGAAGTTAGGGATGTGCTTCCTTCCTGGTATATATCTAATTGTTCTTATTTGCATAAGATGGATTTTTAAAAAAGTTATCTTTTAAAAATTAAGAAAGTTGAGGTACTAGTGGTTTTAAAATGCTGTGGTAATAAATTATTCATTCAGATACTCTGATTTTAAACTCACACTAAATAGTAGGCATTTCAATTCTTGTTAAAATGAGCATGACATGAAATTTTGGGTAAAAATGAACCAACTGGACAACAGCTGGAAGCACTGAGATTGACAACTCCCTGACTTGTTTTTCCATTTCTTGTTTGTCTTTACCCTTTAACCTAGCCAGAAGAATCTAAGAGTGAAGATATGAGGTTTAGGGTGACCTGCTGAGTGGATATTTCAAAGGACAGGAGAGAAGATATTCTTAATAGGCAGGGCTTCACATTGTAAGATTGATGATCTGAATCGAAAATGTACTTGTAATTCCATATCTTGGCTAGACTGTAACATATACAATCAGACTGGATGAATTTTCATTTTGCAAAAATGGTGGTCAGGAGAAAGAGCAGGAAATGCCCCAGGGATCCTCAACAAACAATCACAAAGGTCTCACTGCCTTGGGGAGAAGGGAGGAAGTGAGAGCAGCAAAACATGAATCGCCTGGATTTACCCCAGAGTAAACATGTGACTGGCCACAGAGTAGGTAGTAGATGAAAAAAAGCAAGGTTGCATCATAAGCATAAACAAAAACAAGGCTTTATGTGTTAATTTCATGAAACATGGCAGGAAAAGTGAACCACAAATACTGTGGTTAGATTTTGAATATAAGGCTGAAAATTAAGAGTGAAACTCAGCACTCCTTCCCTCCCCTAATCCAGGCAAATGTCTTTGCAATCACACTTAGTGTGAAAAATAATTGTTTGATATACAAAATAATGAAATATCCAACCTTGAATACACTTTAAGATAGATAAAGGTGCGTGACGTGAATGTTTGATATGATGAACTTAAATTTTGTTTGTTATGCTTACTAAAACTTCTAACTTGAAGTTTTTACATTCTTTCTAAGTTTCCTGGTATCCTGTGTCTTTTTTTCACAATAGGGAACCAATTTCCTTTCGCATTATGTCGTATAATTATATAGTTTCCTGACCATTTTGAAAATTTAGATAGATTTTAATAAACAGTACTCTTAAAGGAGAAGATTAGGAAATGTCTCCTGCTATACAGACCAAGTTAGGAAAGATACAAGTTCACATTTAGAGCTTAAACTGCTGTTCATATTGTATGAGATGGAAAAATAATGAAATGCAGTGAGGAATGAAAAGGAGAAAACTGAGCACTAAGTTGGACCGTGGAATATGCAGACACTGGTTGGATATAGAGATAGTACCGGTGTGATGTCATTACTGTTGAGAAAATTTACTTTACCCTAATAATTCAGACTTAGAGTTATAAACAACAGAATACCAAACTAACAATAAAACCACACAAAAAAATATCTTTCACAAGGTTCAGGGAGGAAAGGGCGGAGCTCACAGAGCCTGTAAGTTAAAGTATGAGGCAGCCTTCACAGTATCTTAATATCAAATGGCCTCATCCTCGTTCCTCTTGGGAACAGGAATAGACAAGTTTGTGTGATTTACAGGGAAAAAAAGCGATAAAAATTTCATTGATGCAAAAGGCAGCTTAAGGATGAGATTTATGATCTTCGGAAAATAATTTCAGCTCAGCTGAAGCTCTTGCACATAGGGTTCTTGACATAATAAGAGAGAGGTTTTTTAAATGGCTTTTCACTGAAAGGAGGTTTAAAGCCAGGACACATATTCTTGGGTCCCTGGGAAAATCAATCTTTCATCATTCACTTCCCACCCTACCTACTCCTGTCCTCTCCATCTCCCCGCTTCTCTCTCAGAGGTTACAAGCCTTCTTCACTGTCTTCATTATTCACTCTCAGCTAGCTGATTTCACATGACTTTCTTGGATACAATCATTACGCTGTCAGCCCCGTATTGTGCAACTTTTTAGTAAAGCCTGGCATGCGCTGTCTGTTTTCCATCTTATTTCAAATTTCCAATAAAGGACTCAGGGTTGGATGAGCTGGTCTCTACCTGAGCAGAGCCACTAAACTGGCCCAAAGTTTGAGCAATGCCCACTGTAGTGCAAGGAGCAGGCCATTTCACTCAGCAGCATGAGGGAGGGGAGCGCAGATTGCGCCTGAGCCCAGGGTAAGCAAGAGGTAACGCAGAATGAAACCGAGACAGGGCTGGGGAGCAGCCTGGGGAGCGGGCAGAAGCACCTGTGTCCCGAGGTCAGATGTGAGATCTGAATCCTCACTTGGGCAGCGCCTTCAGGAATATCTGGGGTGACACACAGAGGGACCTTCTCCCAACCTAGTGTGAGAACTAAACAAGCATGTTGAATATTAAAAACACATGAAAGAAAATATTACCACTTACACAGGCGTTGAAATAAAGAAGCAAGAAAGGTGAAGCACTAGAAGAATCTGAGATAAAGAAAACAAGGAATTGGGGGATTTTGTGCCCAGGTGACTTCAGCCTTCAAAGTGCAGTGGATTGTGCAACCTTACAAATCTCCAGTGGTCTTGGTCTGAAGTGACTAGAAGTCCATTACGGAAATGCTAAGTGGTAACACCAATGGTAGGGTCCTAGAGCACAGCGAGGCTGAGTGATAGCTCCAAATATTTACGTATTCTGTAAAATAATAACAGTACGAGCAACAGCCAATAGCTATAGGGTCTGTTACATGGTGGGACCTGCCTTAGGTCTTTTCCAGATATTAATCCTCATTAGTATTTTTATCAAGCCTAGGAACCTTTATTATGACCATTTTGGGGAGAAACTGAGGCAGAGGTATTTTTTTTTAATTAGCCAGAGTTGTAAAGGCGAAGTACCAAGGCAAGGATCCACAGCCTGATTTTTTGCACTAGATGATACATTATTTCTAATAGGAGGGATATGCAGGAGCCCTTAGAGTTTTTATCGTAAGTAAACTGACAATATGGATGAAATAATTTGAAGAAGATAGGAAACAAGCTGCAAAGGAAGTGCTTATTTATTAACAATGTGTTAGTAAACATATAATATTAACAAGCAATTAAGATAAACATGAATAATAATAAATATGATAAATATGTAATTTAAAAAAAAAAACCTGGGGGGAAGTTTTTTAAAGCTGTCTATAAAAAATTTTAAAACATGAAAAAAGAAGTTATTCAAACATGATAATGTTGGCAGCCATTTAGGTTGGTTTGCAGGCCACTGCCCAATCAAAGGCCATTTATTTTGGTAAAAAGGAAAATGGATTTATTCAAAGTTAGCTCAGGAGACAGAGGGGCTCATTTGCATCAAATCAGCATCTCACCTGGTTCAGGTGTACTAGGGTCTTTTACAGCAGGGACGTGCTCCTTGGGGAGGGACTACAAGGAACAATAGACATGGCTGGGCTTTCAGCCCTTCGGGACCCAGACCTCTCTCCCTGTGACCCAGGATGGGGAACTTCAGAGAAGCTGCTTGTCTCTAACATTAGAAGAAAAAAATCTAACTTTTAAGATTCCCTTTTGAGATGCCAGTAACAATAGGGTCTAAACTTTCAGTGTGAACGGTATCTTTCACGTGTTTCCTCCACTGAGGGGGAAAGGCAGGCTTTGGGAGTTTGGCCGGAGACTGAGCAGAGGGGTGACCTCACAGGAAGCAGGCTCTTCCAGCCCAGCCCGCAGCCCTCCGGCCCTCCCAGACACAGACACCCGCAGCAGAGGCATTTTGGGCTTCTTACCTCCCCTGTAACCTCCCCTGTCACTGCCCGCGGGATCAGATTCCACTTCCTTCTGGACTGTCCAATCCTCATTTTCCTCATCTGTTTAAAAGAAGAACTGGAGAAGAGAAATCCTCATTTTCAAGTCTGCAAGGGGAAAGCAAAATAACCTCAAGCCCGCTGAGAAAAAAATCTTTGCAAGAAATTTCTTCAGAGATTTTACTCGTGAGTACTGGGGAATCTACCATCCAGCCCATGAGAAATTACTTTTCTTTCCTTTTCTTGGGGGAAAAAGACGGCAAAGAAGGGCAGTGGAAGATCACCTTTTCTTCTAAAATGAAAATCAGCTCTTCTTCATAAACAAAGTAGACTGATATTGCAACATCAAATTCAGTTCTCAGCATTTTGTGATAAGTTCTTCAGTAAATGTATTAGCAGTGTTTCTGTGTTTCAGATCGTGAACGTTATTCTATGTAATTGGTTAGATGTAGCTTTTTCATCACTTTAAAATTGTACTACTTTAAGATTGCAGATTCTTTAGTAATTGTTTCTGCTTAATTGGAGTTTTTTGAAGGTTTGGTTTACCTTTAAGTTTCATTCAGTAAAGTATAAAGAATTACAATAAAGAGTGCCCGTCAGTCTAAAATGAAGTACAAATGTTAGAACTTTTGTAATCTAAATTAAATAATTTATGCCAGCAGTAATGTCTCTAAAAAAAGTTTTACATGTTTCCAAAGATGAAAGATCATATTCTGAGATATTTAATAAAGATACTTATGATCAAGTCAATGTATTATGCACATGTGTAAGTTAAAGCAATAGATTACATACATACATGATGTACTGTTATATTCTTGTTGGTTAACAAATGATATTAAATTATGCTTCTAGTAGTAAAGAAAAGCATATAATAAAGAGATATACTCCCATAGAACTGGAATTATTTAATTGTGGAAAAAGCTCATTTCTCTTTTAAAAAGAATTATGAAAAACTGAAGCCCAAGAAAAATGCCATGTGGGAAAAATGAAAAGATAAGTGACAGGCTCACTGTGACTCAGTGCTCTGGAAATTAGTCACAGAGTGACTCTGTATAACATGAGATAGCAAAAACATCCAGGGCAGAACCCACGCAGGAAACATAGCTGAGAGAGCTGTATTTCACGAAAAAGTCAAAATAATTACGTCAGAGAGGGAAAGTTATGACAACGCTGAGATACTGCAAACTCCTTGAGCCGGACAAAATCATTTTACAAAATGTTTTAAGTACTCTTTTAAAATTCTTCATTCTAGTGCACAATTACTTCAGAGCAGATGATTTATATCTCAACTAATTCTTATATAAAAGAATGAATATGCTCTTTGATGCTTAGGTGAAGATGGAATGTTCATTTGAAAACTATGGGTTAATAAAATGGCATAAATATTAACAGGATTAATAAAAATTTATGGATCTTTATGTACATAAAGATATAAAACATAAAACCTTAAAGGAAAATTTTGAAGTACTTTTAACAGTGGGAGTAGTTCTTTTAGGAAATCAAATTTGTCTTCTTCAGGTGAGCGGAGGATCTTTTTAGAAACCTTAATGACATATTCACTACTGGTCAGTCGCTCTCACTATTGGATATGCTGAACTGGACATGCATTTGTTTTGCTTCTTCTTCGCCTTATACTTTGTTACCTGTAAACGTTTGTTGTGACTCCAGTGACTAAATCAAGTGCTTTCCTTTTGGAACTGTGACTCCTGAGCAAATGAATTTTTTCGTCACTTGATTTTTGATGCTCTGATGACTGTCTCTTATCCTGTGTTTATGTGTTGTTGGTTGGACAAGTAATTTGACCAGCATCTTCTATTACTCAGTTTTAAAAGAATAATACAAAAAAATCTAAGAATATCTTTGTGTGAAAGTACAGTTTTCAGAACATTCACTCTGTTCCTAAGCATTAGTCAAATTCAGATGGTAAGATGACAAGCTACTGGATGAAAAAAGCCAAGTTCAAAAGACTTCATTTATTTGCTGGAAGTGAGGAATCTATCTAAATAGTACATGTGGTATCGATTATTTAGGAACAATGAACTGATTAAATTCAGTGACACAATCTGATTCCAAAGTAAACATACTTGAAAAGAAAACAAAAGAGATGATATGAAAAATGAATAGATTAGGATTTTCAATACAAGTTTATTAGTATAAATTAAGTAAATTGAAGGATAATACAGATTAAAAAGATAAAATTGTATCACCAGTTTACTTTTACTATGTAGACCGGTTCTAAGAATGGTACTACAATCGGTATACCTCATGTAGTATCAATAAAGGATTTCCCTACACGCTGCCCTGTTTTGTTTACTATCTGCCACTTAATTCATTTGGGTAATTTAACTTGGCAGATTGTCTTTTTAAATGAAAATTTTTTTTGAAGGTATCAATATTCAAGGTAGCTTCTGCTACCTTTTATAGAAATACAGGTACAGTGTAATTCTTTTCGATTATTGCTGTGTGTGTTAGAGAAACTGAGTTTAGTTAACATCCAGAGCCTATTGGAGTCCTTGTTTTTGGAGATCTAATTGCACTAAAATGAGTAAAGGGCACATTTTTTTCCAGCAAGCTAGACCACCTCCTTTGGCGCTCTAAGGTTCTCAGCCACTGCTTTCTTAGAACAGCTTTATGCGTCAGCGCCGGAAACTCCTTACTCTCCTGTGTTCACTTCTCCCAGTGATGAGAGCCATGAAGAGCCAGACCCTAGGGTATCCAAAAGCCGAGGACAAAGTAGTCTTTTCCACTTTTCCCACCCAACAGTAACAAGTACTCTATGTCAAAGTCACTGCTTTCAGCTCTCTTGGGCCTCTATGTTCTTGCTTAGCTGGAACATCTACATTTTAAAATTAGTTTTTAAAATAAAAGTTTGAAAGGACACTGTGGCCCACCCTGGAAGTCCCAGTGCTGCAATAATACTACCCCAGTAGCTTCATCTGGTATTTGGACCCTTCTGGGGAGACTTGGAGTTGTTGAAAAATTTCTCAATCAAAATGTGAATGAAGAAATATTGTATGTTTTCAGTTAGTCTAGTAAAGCAACTTGAAGATCAGGATTGTGAACATATCCATTAACAGGACCCTAATAAAATGTAAAACATGTTTTGATTCCCACCTCATGTGCCAGAGGCACGCTTGAATTGTATTATTGCACCTTCAATGCCTCCACCACTCAGGCAACCTGGGACAGTATTTCCTCCTATTCTTGATCTTGTCCATTTCTATCAAAACCTTGAGTTCTATAGTAATTCCCTCACCTCCTTTCTTATTTTCCAAGGTTTAAAAGTAGAGTAAGTCTCAAAATGCCACCACTCTCCGAAATAATGGTGTTTGTTGTGGGCATTTTGATAATAATTTTAAAGTTTATTTAGGAAGCTTCAAAATCTAAGGTTGTTTTTCAAATGAGTCAAAATGTGTGTATTAAGATGTCATGTGTCTACTTTTCTTTTCTTGGTCTACTGACTTCAAATGTACCTAAGTGCAAAAGGAATGAAGTTCTGATGCATAACACATCAACCTTAAAAACATTAGGCTGAGAGTAATAAGCCTGAGCCAGAGGGACGGAGTGTGTGGTCGTGTTTACACGAATATCTGAAGTAGGGAAACTCATAGGGAGAGAGTTGCTGCTCACCAGGGACTCTGTAAATGGGGAGTACTGCATGGTTCGTGCAGAGTTTCTGTTTGAGGTGATGGAAAGTTTTACAGATAGATATTGGTTGCCTAGCACTGTAACTGTAATTAATGACCATGAGTTGTGCACTTAAAAATTGTTCAAATATCAAATGTCATAGTATATTTTACCATGATAAAATTATTCAAAATTGCATTAATAATTCTATAAGAGGAATTCCAGATTCTTGAAGCATATCTCTTTATATTTTCTAAATTAACATATTAAAATGATAAATGTTTAAATGATAGTTGCCTGAATTTTTTAAAATAAGAGGATCTTTACAATGAAATTTTCAACATTTTTGTAAGATGTTGCTATTTGGGGGCTAATTGCTTTTTCATAACAATTTCTTTCTGGTTATAGTCTTAGGGTAATTCCAACCTCCTATGATGAGTTGGAAAGTATTCTTTCCATTTGCTTAAATATTCTAAATGATATATGTAAAATTGATATTATGTCTTCATTAAGTGATGGGTGGCATTCTCTAATAAAGCTATCTGGCTAGTCTTTGAAGTTTTGAAAGTACATAATTTAATTTTTAAACTAGCAGTAGGACTATTCAGGTTATCGATTTCTTTTTGAGTGGTCTTTAGTACTTTGTGCATTTCAAGGAATTGGTATCTTTCACCTATGTTGTCAAATGTTGATATAGTGTTAATAGTACGTGTTTAAATTTATCTATTTTGCCCAAGAGTCAGTCTTTGGATTCACTGACTCTATTGAGTTGCTATTTTTATTTCATTGATTCCCACTCTGATATTTATTCTTTTCTTGCTGTGTATTTCTCGATAAATGTTGCTTTACCTTTGTTTCTTTATATTATGTTGTGATATGCTGTGTTTTTATTCAATTCAAAATATTTTTTAATTTCCCTGAAATTTCAATGTTGATCCATAGACTATTTAGAACTATTATTTTATTTCCAGATTTGGGGGTATTTTCCAAAAGATGTAAAATGTCTTTTTTTTACTTATTTCCAGTTTAATTATATTAACATAGGAGTTCATATTTTATATGGTCTGAATAATTTCTAACTTATTGAGACATAGTTCATGACTCTGAACATGATGTAATTTGGTAAATGTTCTGTGTGTTCTTGAAAAGTATAGGTATTATGCTATTGTGAAATGGAATATAAAGGTCAATCAGATCAAGTTATTTCATAATGCTGACCAAAGCTTTTACATCCTCATGAAATATTTTTGTCCAGTTTGCCTTCTGAAGACTGGAACATAGTTATTGTAATATCTGACTATAATTCTGTATTTTGACTTTCAATTCTGTTAGTTTTTGCTTCACGTAATTTGAAGCCCTGTTGTTTGAAAACTAAGTATTTATTTTTTCTCTTGACTTTTCCCTTTTATTACTATAAAACAACTCTGTTGATCACTGATAAAATCATTTCTTCCAAAGTGTAATTTCATATCAATATAGACACCCCAGGATTCTCTTGATTGGCATGATCATGGAACATTATTTTGTACTTCTGACTTGTGTTTCACATAGAAAGTGGG